TAGGTTAATTATGTAGTCATATTAATTCTGTTTAACTACAAAAGAACAAGCTTTATCATAAACTAACACATATGCCCTATAATATCAATAACAAAAAACAGGACCAAAACAAGTAATTTCGAAAGAAGTAATCCAACTGAAACTACCCCTGACAGCCACAAATTAAGTGACAGATCACATGTTTGAGAGGCATGGTCAGGTGCCCTGAGAACACAAAATAAAGGAATTGACCGCTATGTCTTCTATCAGCTTGTGTCAGTCATTTATTTGTTTTTTCACAAATTCAACCCGATGGTTTTGAACAAGTGTGAAACAGAGAGACTGAAGGTTTTGAAGGCAGATCCTATAATCCTATTGCTTGTGGCCAGAGCATCAGAAGCGACATTGCGCGCTGCGAGACAGTGTTTTTCTATGGGTGGGCCCTGTAGGCTCAAATATTTGCCCGCTCTTAAGACAAATAAAGGTAAAACTTTCAGCCCGCACTGTTCAACTTTTCTTTCAAGTGCTTCCGTTTGCAAACACACATAAACTTTGCTCGACCGATGCCGAAAGATATTCAAAATTCTTCCTCGTGGAAATCCATGTTTGATTCCGGCCATATCATTTGCTCCTGAATATCAGAGTCCTGCATCTTCAAGAATTGTGACAAGTTCATATCAAATGTGATTAATAACAATATATTACTTCTCAACTTGACAGGTATCATCAATCACTTTTGAACAAAGTCAACAAAATTTGGTATACCCCCAAAGCCTTGATCATAATGTCTAGAGATAATATGTCATACCAACTGATTTGCCTCAAGAATTAAGAGCTTATTTTTGAAAAGGAAACATATCAAGCACATATGTAAACAGAAGTGGGGCTGTGGTTACACTCTTTATACCACACATACTAAAACTTTGAGAGCATGTATTGACTGTACCCACAGTTCCAGGTGATAATAAAAATTTATCAAAAAATTAGTTCCAACAAAACCATGAACACAGTTCAGTCAAATGAAAACCAAACACCAAAGTTAAAAAAAGCTCCAAATTGGTCAGCTTGACACAGACCTCGTGATCAGAGACGACCATCAAAAAGGACCAGGGTTTCTGCCAAGCAGGTGCACTGTTTAACACAAGTATTACTTTAGGGCCAGACTGTTATTGTAACTTGAAACAAAGATCCATCAGCTCCAAAGAAATGTAGAACAAAATTTAATAAAATGAATTTGGTATTTTTAATTCTTTTTAAACCATAGACTTGAAGCAAACAGTGTGAAGGTAAGACCAAAAACTGCTGATGAGACATTTACTTAGGGGTACAAAAAGTCTGCAGTCTATACTATCAGTTGTCCGACTTCCATTTTGTGGAAGCCGCGGTGGTTGAGCGGTCTAGGCGTCTGGCTTTGTGTGCTGGCGATTAGGTGCCTGACTCTGAGGGATTGGGTTCGAATCCTGGATGGGACTCAACCCCAAAAAGTACTAGAATCTGTACTTTACTTTGAAAGTGTAATCCCAAATATAACATACGTTACTCATTTTGTGTTCTTCTGTTCAGGGCTGTATTATTCCGCTCTGGTAAATAAACATAATAAATGTGTAAAATATATTTTGACAACAAACACATACTTATATCCCCAATAAACAAGGTCTGAACAAAAATAATCAAAACAAAACTCATGAGTTCTCCTTGATTCTAAAGATGTAGTGTCAACATGGCTGATCTTCAGTTGATAAAAATTAATATCCTAGAGTCAGGAGTGTTGCAATATAGTTTCATACATGCTGCAGCAGAGATCTGGAGAGGCTTATTTCACATACTTTCTATTCATAGACAGCAAAAATACAACCTGGAGTCTCATGGCATGAGCAAGGATCAACAGGAAAGGATTTGGAATCCTAAGTACTTCCACAAAATTAACTAGGGTTGGTCATGTCACGTAAGTCTGACTAAGAGGATTTGAAACTCCTTCATGACCTCGAACACAGTATGTTTAAAAGTCTTCCCACTCCTAAAACAGCATCTGAAGAGTGGACAAGAAGCTGAAGCAGCAATTTTTCAAATCCATAATTCTCATATGATCATATCCTGAACTGAAGTACTTATCTTTAAACCATGTTTCAAATCCTGAACCTTTACATGATACTTTTTATCAACTGTAGTGACTTCACTGGCAACAAACAGCAAAAGGACATACTTTTACCAACTTTTGTAAGGACATTCCAGTTTTTACCACATTTTGAAAAGAAATCAGGGCATATTTTATGTCCAAGAAATCTGAAACCCTGAACAGTGTACAACAGCGACATTAACGAAGTGTATCCCTGCTCTGTAATAAGGGTATCAAGGTACCTGTCTGTATATTTCAAACAAAAAACGCCATCCATCAAGCTGCGACTTCAGTTGACAGACATTAACTGTGCCAGTCTCAGCAATCTTCAGGCGTAATGACATCATAAGGAATCTGATATTGTTACTTATTCCACGATGATTTGGCTAATTTCATTGTTATATAAGCTCTTCTTACACAAGGGTGATGGGAAGGTGAAAAATCCTGCACATTTATCAACCCATGATAACAAACAAGTTTTATACAAGATTTACATATTTATTTTGAGACTTGGACGATCAAAAATGTAAACAGGAAATCCATTTCAATGCAATTATATCATTTACAAGACAAGGTAAAGAATACCATACACTTCAACATGTTCAACATCATTCATACAATGACAGGTATTTTTAAAGAATTATCTGTGTTTTTGTAACTTCAATGTGAAGAGTACATGTATAATCTGCAAGATACATTAAATCACACTGACAGGAAGATGAAACAATAATATTTTATGATTAAATTAGGCAAATAATATCTCACTATGCCTTGGACATAACGGACGTGTGAAAAACCAATATCAAATCTACAGCATCAGGAAGATTAGCATTGGGGACCACCTTGGTCACACAGGAGATCGGTTGTCCGGGACATGCCACATTTCGTCCATGTTGCTCTTTGACACTGACCGGTGATGGACAAACACACAGGGTATTTGGTTTAGTTTAACCTTCGTATTTTCCCATACACAAGTTTGCTTGCTTCCAAGGAGGCAACCAAGTCAAGTGATTCTTTAATGGTGTGTTCATTGGTTTACCAACATGGATGGCATCTACAGCCCTTTTCAAATTCTTTCGTTTCCGTTCAACAAAAAAATGGTTTAGGAAGTAATTGTGAGTGACATGCTAACTGAAACCGATATGTTGGGATCTTAACTCGGTCAGAGTTAAAATACAGTGTATAATAGCAACATAAAGTAAACTAACAAAAGATATCTCACTATGAAAACAGTCCACACAGTGATGTGTTTGTGTAATGTTTAAGTATTTTTCATGTCACACCATCCTATCCACACATCCTTTGTGCCCTTAACGACATATTTCACACCTGTATTATCCACACCGGTATACCTGAGAAACTAATTCCTTCTGACACCCCCAACAATGTCTTAAAATCACATCAGCTTAGAGCCTTACAATATCACTGCTAACATTGTCAATGTTTCAGTGTGGGAATTCAATGGTGAAAGTCTTTATACTGACAAGTCAACCATATCAAATTAACACCATTTCAAATAGGCTACATACAGTTGAGTTTTCCTGTTATATTTCCCTAACAACTTATCATAACTTGTACCGAACCATGGAGTATTGGTATCATTCTGTAATCTCAAAAGTAATAAACCAAGTTAAATTCCTAACACACTAACAAACAGGATCTCTGTATACAAAACTTAACATACACAAATCAGTTCGGAAATTCAGATTTTTTAGAAGGGTCCAAGCATTAGGTTAATATGCTTTCAATAGACAGCATTCAAACATTACTTAAACGAATAGTGAGTGTTTCTGGCACAGACACATTGTCTCTCAATGCTTGTCAAGTTGAACCTGACGCCAGGATTGTTGTATCACTAGGTTCTGCTACCTGAAGCTACAACCAGCCTAGGGTTGAAGTAGATACCTCCTGCAAAGTTTCCACCACTCACATTGTCAAATCACTTTCCCTTACCCTCGTCAAAACAATACTTTCACTGCTGGACAGGGGTGAGTTTGATTCCCCTGACAATAGCTTAATGCTTCATTTAAGTGTTTCAAAGATCGTAACTTGACCACTGCGAGTCAGGCTTGACCAAGGATCATTGGTGCAAAATCTATTTTACACGCAGATGGCTTTTAATGAAATATTGGAGAAGATTCCAATCATGTACCAGTTCGCTGGTGCGTGTCAACCAGTTTCCATGTACAATAAACCATGGCAACAGAATCCTTTTAAAAAATTGACCTTTTTGTTGTACCATTTTTCATCGCTGATTCAGTACCACGCTAGAATGGATAAAAGGCGAACCAGTACAACATATTGTAGAGAACCTACTAGATAGAATCAATCCTCAGCGCTGTACAGCATACAAAGGCAGATGAGGACAGGTTTTACAATAACCAGAGATCCAGACCGCAACCTTCATACAAGCATCATGCTGTACTATCACATATACAAGATAGCAACTTCACATAGATAATGGTATGTATATTTGTTGAGTTTGATGTGACTAATCCTCGGCTCCACGGTCTGCTGAATCTGTCCTACATGTACATCCTCTATTTCCAGTCTGCAGCTGCCCACAGTGTCTGCATGCTCCGGTGAACAGTCAAGCAGTTTGTCATGCATTCACTGTCAAGACTGAATCATTTAATTCTGCTGCTTTCAACATGTTCAATGTGAAGTAAAACGTTTAATATGGTGGGAGACACATAAACAAACTAGACACTGAACAATATTTACAAGATGACAACTTGTATAACAAAGAAGTTTTACTTCAGAGGACAATTTTAGAAACTATATGACACAAAGAAATTTACAAGTGTCAACCAGAATGTGTTTAAACATTTACAAATCATTTGGAACCACTTGTTTATATGTAAAGTATTACTGATCCTTGATAATGCATCTTGTATATATTGTCCTACATTAGTAACCACACCGTACACCTGAGGACAATGAAGAGTATTTTTACCTGTAAGATGCAGTGGCCAACAGCCTTGTCCTCAGGAACTGATGCCGAGTAGAAACTTTGATCAAACTCTGGCTGTTTATCATTGACATCCCTGACAGTAATTATCACCGTAGCTGACGATATCCGTGGGGTCTCGCCACCATCCGATGCAATCACTGAAAGTCTGGGTTGTGCTTCAATTTCACAATCTATCGCTGACTTTGTTGTGATGAGACCAGTGTTACTGTCAATTTGAAACCAAGACGTTGGGGTTCTGTCCGAAATGCTGTAACGTATCCGAGCGTTGTCTCCATCGTCAGGATCGGTTGCTGAAACCTTCACAACGTAGGTTCCAGGCTCAGCAACTTCATGAATTTCTGCTGTGTAGGTCTGCTGTGTGAAGACGGGATCGTTGTCGTTGATGTCCTCTATCCAAATTGTAAAGGAATAAGAAGCATGGAGAGGGGGTTCACCAGCATCCGTTGCAATAACAGTCAGATTATAAAATGGTTTTACTTCACGATCTGGTGGTTTTGAAACCACTATGAGGTACACAACTCCGCTAGATTCGTGAAGGTCAAAAACACCATCACCTCCAAGGAGGGTAATATTTGCATCGAAATATTCTTTTGGACTGTCAGGATCGGTGATAGAAATCCGTGCAACGAGAGTACCTTTACGAACATTTTCAGATATTTTACCCGTTTTGTTTCCATCTGATTGTAGAAAAGTAAGGCTGATGTTTGCAGGCAATTCGTTGATATTTTTCAAATCTATTTCCAAAGCAGCACTGGCTGACTGTGGGCTGGAGCCATTATCTTTGGCAAAAATGGCCACCCTAAAATTTGGAATTGTTTCGTAATCAAGGGGTTTGTTAACCCTGACCACGCCAGTCACCGGATCCACACGAAAATACTTTGCTCTTTCTGACTGCGGATCCAGATAGTAGGTGACTTTTCCATTTTCCCCATCGTCGTCATCGGTTGCTGCAACTTGTAAAACACTAGTTCCGATAGTTGTGTTCTCCGGTATCAAAGCATGGTAACGACTGAGCGTAAAACGGGGCTGATTGTCATTTTGATCAATGAGTAAAATTTCAAGATTAAGTTCTGCAGTATTTGGTGGGTTCCCGCCATCAGAAGCTCGTATCACCAGGTCATATCGTGATTGAGTTTCGTAATCAAGTTCCTTGTTTATAAGTAAGTCTAAAAGCCAATCAAAACTTCCAGATCGCCGTGTTTCTAATCGAAAATTTTGTTCATCGTTTCCTGAAACTATTCTACAATCCTGGATTCCATACATGTCTAAATCTCTGTCTGTTGCAGTACCCAAGGGATACTTGGCTTCTTTAGGAGCTCCTTCAGATATTCTCAGTGTCTGTGTCCTATTTGGGAAATTGGGAATGTTATCGTTTATATCCGTTAACTTCACTTGGACATTAATAAATTCATTATTACTATCCTGAACGTAAAAGGAGTATAATTCTTTAGTCTCTCTGTCAAGTTTTACTTTTGTATAAATGGTACCTGATGACGTATCTAATCGGAAATAATTTTCAATTTCCCCAGAAATTAGAAATTCTATTGGGGGAACTATGGCACTGTTGGATCTACCAATTATACCAACTTCAGTATTTGGCGGTTCTTCCTCTCTGACTCGAAATGTCTCTATTATTTGTTGTTGTTTTGACTTGGAGGGAGAGAGAGCAAGCAGAAACAACACAAGCAAACGAGTCCCCCATTTTCTCTCTCCCTTCTCCACCCTCATTGCTGGCGTGTAGGCACACATTGCGCTGCCAGCAAATATTACTTCCTATCAAATCTTCACCATATTTCTTAAATTTGGTCATTCATCCAGTTGCATACAGCCGCTGAATATTCACACCTGTAATATGAAGATTGGGCATTCAGTTCATTTACACCTGGTAACGGCGAAATGGCGGTGTCGCGGTACTTGACATTAATCTATAACGGAATACGTCGTCACAACATTCACAAACCGTCAGATCACTGCGAGGTACCACAATAACATAAATCCTTTTCGTATTCCCAGGCTTCCAGAATCTTTGTATGAGGCCTGTTGATAGTAGTGCACACAATACCGCAAGTCCAAATTACAATTGGCACGACAGGTGAATGCAGTCTCCACTCTGCAATTAGCACATGGTATACTTCCGAAACAACACAGTTTTCCAGTTATTTGTGCCGTATCTGACTTTACCGGCACTGGTCGTTTTCACGCCTCCCACGGGCAGGTATACACATTTGAGGTCCGCGACCTGCTGTAGAGGCCGAATGTACACACGGTGTTGTTTCGGGGAACCTACCTCTCTCACCTGTAAAAGCGAGCGAAGCTTGTCCCGTTTCCACGCCGCTGAATAAGTCCACAAAGTTGCTACACACAAAGTCGTGATCAAAGCTCACCCGATAGCCACGACTTCAACTTTTTCGTACTCCATGTGTTTTATGTCCACTTTGTGGCCAGTTGTAAAGAGTTCACGTTTCGACTTCGCGGCCACACTGTGGTATCAACACACAGCCTCGCTTTGAGATACACACTCAGGTCACGTGACGACTGCTTCGTGCTGTCTGCTCGAGTTGTGTAGCTCGCTCGTCTAGGCGAAGGGAGAGAATTGTCGGCCTCTTTGAAATCGACATCAGTTAGTTAGAGATGATTAGCAGCATGTCAAAGTGCATTGCTAAGATGCTGAGAGTGCGCGTATCGCATCCATCATCATAATAAGACATCGTTTGATGATTTAAGGTTGCATGTACAATTAATGTATTAATATGCCGTCACAGTTTATGTCACTGTGGTTACCAAAGAAATGTATAAGACAACCGAACCTCAAACAGACTCTTGATTAAAGGAATAACTTCTGTGCCAAGAAATTACTTCTCAGCTATCTTAACATGTGAAAAGCCTAGTCAATTTAACGTTTCAGTACTTCTGTCTTTTCACACAAACAACATATCCCACATGTGCGATTGCAGTGGATTGCGATTGCAAACATTCCGAATTAGGCGATTTTATATATTTACAGCCTAATTTAACCGCTTCCGGGCAATAAATGTGTTATATAATATCATCGAGGTATCATAAAGGTCGTTTCGCTCATTTAACAAGAACATTGTACAATTGTTTGTAACCTTTGGAAGCATTGTAATACATCTTCCAGATAGGTGGCTTAGATTCGTGCGTGTGAGCGACAGTGTTTCAATTATTTAAACATTATATAAGTTAGTTTCTTCTGTTCGTTGGGTCTATCAAACAATAACGACCTGTCTGCAACGTTATATCACGCGGTAAGCTTCAATCTTAAACATAAATCAGAACCAGTGCACGGATGCATGAACATGGCAAGAATTTATGCGTGAAGCGATATGAAACAATCATAATAATCGACTAAACGGACGTGACTGGAACATCAGTTGGTTCCTTTTTGCAGCGAATTGATATCACATCGGCGAAAACAATCGCCCACGAAGACCCTTCACTTCCGCCTAATTACGCCCTTGATTAGGACGTAATCAACCGAATCTATGCACGGACCCGCGCAAGTCGGCTGTTTAGATCAAGTGATTACTGTTCCAAAGGCCTCGTCTCATCGTCGACATCACATCTTGAAAGATGGTGCTACTAATGTCGTTATGGACGACTCATTATTCCCTGTACGCTTCTCCATATATCTGTGTCTATATTTCGATGAGTTTACATGCACACCCTGTCCAAAATAATACGTTTTAACTTGCTAGTGTAATTACGTGGCTGATGGAGATGTCATGATACGGCTTGTTACAATCAAAGGACGTTATCAACACATTCTGTTAATAACTAACTTAATAACCGTAAGTGGAATAATAACAGGTTAGATCTGAGTCACACATTGTATATACTTAGAGCACGTTTAAAACAGGTTTATATTTCGTATGGTTTAGACTGACTGACTGAGTTTGGTTTTACGCCGCTTTTAGCAATATTCCAGCAACATCACGGACGGGGACACCAGAAATGGGCTTCACACATTGTACCCATGTGGGGATTCGAACCCGGGTCTTCGGCGTGACGAGCCAACGCTTTAACCACTAGGCTAACCCACCGCCCCCGTATGGTTTAGAAAGACAATTGCTAAGGTGGTACAATCAAACTGTAGATCATTCACTTAAGGCTATTTTGTATTTTGTGTGTTTTTATTTTGCTTTGGTGTATTTGTTAACGCTGCGCTCAGCGATATTCCAGGTATAAATGAATGAAAGAAGAGGGGGAAATAACGCCTTGTTTAAGTTTATTTCTTCTTTCTTTGTTGCTTAACTCAACAGTCAGCATCATTCCAACTATACGATGCAGGACCTGACAATCCAGTGGTCGATAGCATGAGTAACGATCAACGCCGTTGGGGTAAGATAACAAGCAATGAACCCGGCAGTCGCCGAACCCGACCACCTGATCATTTGGCCTACCGCTACAGGGCGGTGGGGTAGCCCAGTGGTTAAAGCATTGGCCGCTTGGGAGCTATTCTAACGAGAATCCTCTCATGAAACTCGTTTAATTAAATCAGAACATGGTTAGGTTACATAGAAATAAAAGATTGCGTGTAACAGAATTAAATGAAATGACATTAAAATAAGCACTGCAAAAATGAGCTTGTAAATTAATTTCGCAAGTTAATCATGTTTGCAGAGGAACAATTACTTCTGACATCGTATTCCTTCCTATCTGAACAGTAACCAAGATATTAAGATATTCACAACAATCTCGTTACGATCTGTTTCAATATGTCATACCATACAAGTATTTCATGTTCTTGCGATTCTGCCGGGCCATCAGTACTGATTCAGATAAGTTTAAGTCTTCTAATGTACACCAATGGCATTCTGCAAATGTCAAATGGGAAATAATGCATTAATATTATTTGTATTTCATTATTCTTAGTATCTGTAATGTAACCTGAAGATATAATTATCATTTGAGACATATCAAGAAACTGAAAAGAGAAAATGAATTAAACAAATTGAGTATCTTACATCGTTAGCCATCTAAAGCTGGTATGAAGAGTAGCCACGTGGTATGGGTGTTCACTTGTAGTTCGGGTTCAGGTTGTGTGGATGTGCAGGTGCGTTGGCACTTGGATGAAGCCATACGTGTGAACACTTCGATACACCATCAACCAAAAAAGCTACATCAGGAAGGTGAGCTATCATTTTAAGAATGCTTCAACCATTTTTTTTCTCGCAAATTTGGCTGACAACTTTGAATCGTTACAACACATTACTCACGAAAACGGCTGATATTCCACACGTATTAGAGCTACGTCGGTGAACTGTTACCCTCCAATTTGTAACTAGGGTTTATTAAAAAGGAGGGACAATACGAACCCGTTTCACTATTTGGGCCAATGTTAACAACGCTGAGCTGGTGGGTTCATTTTTAGTTTCACTGGAAAAGGGATAAGCTCATGTTCTGTGCTCATTTCACAGACGAGTTATTTTCCGGTACATATATAGTTCCCAGACAAGTGACCGAAGGTAACGGAACTTGGTCTGTTTATTTCGGAGGCAATTATCGTGATGACTGTTCAAGTCCGGTTTTCAAGCAGCTTTGTAAAGTAATGTTATTTTATTACAAGGAGTGATGTGTACAACTGCTTTTATATTACACACTCAACGTTTAATGGCTACTTGCAGCTCCATCAGTGAGTGGGTAGGGAAACAAGACATATAATGATATATACTTACTGAAGTTAGATGTAATTGGATAATACAATGTAAGCCAGTTGTGAAACTCCAGTCTTGTTAATTGACTAATTTTATGTGTGTGTCTAATTATTACTGACTGTATTTGTATGTTTGTTGTTTAACGCCGCACTCAGCAGTTCTACAGCTTCATGACGTCATGAGCATCGATCTACGCAATTTTGATACGATGACATGAGTATGTATACGATTCAACGGTCTAATGGAAGTGCCTACACATAATTGATTGTGGCTGGAGTGAAACAAATATGAAATGGTTATAGGTGAGGTGAGGTGAAATTAGGCTTAACGTCGTACTTGAGAATATTTCGCTCATATGACGACGTGCATGCGTGTGTATGTGCGGCTGCTTGTACTAGCCCAGACTGAAGCTGGTTTTATAGTGCTAGCCCACTGAGATACCATGCCACAGTGAAGCATGAATACCCCACTCATACACATTATACTGACTCCGAGCCGACCAGTCCTAGTTGTACCCATTAATGCCGAGCGCCAGGCAGGGACCAACAAGTACCATATTTTAACGTCTTTTGGTATGACGCGGTCGGG